AAGCACCTTTTACAACTTGCCTCGTAGGAACTTTATCTTCTCAAATTTAGGGAAAGCATGAGCAGAACAATTGTGCTGGAAATGGAGTAGACTTATCTAGGGAAGATCAAGCACCACCTACTAGTACATAAACTAGTGGCCTAAGTCTGCTGCTTCTTCCCACCCACTCACGTGCGGACTAATTTCAGCTTCTTCTGGGCTGTTTTTGGTGTTTCTTCATCAGAGTTTTTTCCCTTGGAACGAGCACGAGCAGCTTTCTTTTCTTTTTGGGCACGGCCTTCTGTATGGATAATATAAAAAGAAAAGTACAAGTAAAATATCTCTGTATAGACTGAAATGTTTCAACTAATAAACCAATTAATTGTACAATACACAACTTCCAGTATTCCACCTTTGCTTATGTTCTAACTCTGATCCAGTTCCATGTTGATTGAGTTCATTCAAGAATTTGGACAATGATTATGTCAAAATAAATAAATAATTCAAAGTCCATAATGTCAACTACTATATAATTTTGATATTCTTAAATTATTCTTCGTTTCTCTTTGTAAAAGTCATGTTGATCTTTTTATTCATAAAGCATGTTCTATTGCTCATTTGTTTCAAAATCTAGCATTGATATTTTGTAATATTTTCTGATTTGTCTGAGAGAAGATCTAATAAACACCTTGTTCTCCCACAATCTACTCTCTTAAGCTCTGAATCCTAAAACTGCTTACCAATCTTCTAATAAGAAATTTACATTTATGTTAAAAATATTTTAATATGTATTTTCCATCAAGATGCTAATTTGCAAACTAATCCTGTTTTATTGTTATTAACTACATATGCCCAGCTGCTGCCCAAGACCTTCAAAAAGTTATGTACTTCTAATGCAGCATCCTTCTCAGTTAAGGTACACTTGCAGGAAGAAGGTATTAGGAAAAAAACCAGAAACTGTAGTACAAAACGTATGCAATTTATCTAAACAGTATAGCTTTGGAATAAGCAATTAATCTTCTACAGTATTTGTTACAGGAAAAATATGCTATTTTGGAGAACTTAATTTGTTCATTTTGTTGATTCATAAATTAAATGTCTAGTAGAATATATTCATGTTTTCTTGACCTTTTAAACTGCCCAAGCAATTAGTCTTTTCCCTTAGAGTTAGTCTGGTGGAGTAGTTAAGGTGCTAGCCTAGAAACCAGGAGACCATGAGAAAGATGGGCAGTTGAGAAATGTGAAAAATAAATGGCAGAATATCAATTTAATAAAAATAGTTACTGTTCATATTCTTTGCCTGCATATTTCCACAGACAACTAAGAAATTATTTTATGGCTTTCAACTATACTACAATTATACTCAAATACAATTTTGAGTATATAATAAACAGAAAAAGGCTTGTTTATCATGCTAATCTAGTCTCTAAAACTGCATTTCAAAATTAATTCATTACTGGGTAATCCCCAAATATTCCAAAATAATGTGTATCCAACATAACATTTTTTCTAATACAAAGAACTAAGCAATAGATGCGACTTAGTATTTAAGAAATCAAATAGCTACAAATAAATCTCAATGCATTTTTCTTTTATGATTATGCGTATTAATTTCAAGTAGCTTTCAAAGTCAAATTTATTCCCATTGTCTCATTTCTGTAATAAGATAACAATAATAAGGCTAACAATTATAAGTCAAGGTTAACTCCTTGTAACTGCCTTCTCCCTAGGATGTTTTCCAACAATCCAGTCTAAGCAACATTCCTGGAACTTTCAGTGGTTCCACATCAAAGAAGTAGTCAGGTCCAACCCTGCCTATTTATTGAGCCACATTTGTGTACTGCCTATTCTTGTAACTTGTAGCTTACAATATACAAAATTACAACATGCATAAAAACTCAATATAAAAGCAACTAATAAACAAAACAATAAGGTATTGTTCGTAAGAGACATGGCTACCCTTAAAAAGATTTTCAAGCCTGAATGCCCACTGAAAGAGAACTATCTTAACCACTTTGCTAAAAGCCATAAGGGGAGGGGCACATCTGACCTCCAGGGGCATGCTGTTCCAGAGGGAGGGGCTGCTCCTGAGAATGTGCTTCTCTGAGTCCCTGATCTCTTTCGGGGTGGGCACCTGAAGCATTCTCTCCCTGCTAGACTGCGTAGGGTGAACAGATTCTACCTGGAAAAGACAGTCCCAACAGAAATGAGAGGCCAAGCCATATAGGGTTTTATAGGTAATCATCAACATCTTAAATTGGCCCAGAAGCAATTCCTACAACATGTGGTTTATTCTGCTGAATCAACTAACACCAGTGAGCAAGCGGGTGACCACATTATGTATGATCTAAGGCTTCAGAGTAATCTAGGATAATCCCCTATAAAGCAAATTGCTGTAGTCTGACTGAGAGATGAATTACTGTCTTCTGCATCTCCTGATCCAAGAAAGAGTGCCACTAGTAGATCTGCCAAAGCTGGAAGAAGAGTCTCTTGACCATAGCTTTCAACTACAATTCCAGTAGGAATTACTTATCTTCCAAGGTCAGGGCTGTTACCCTATTTCAATCTTATTTTCATGATGATATCTAAATATTTTCTCAAAATTGGTTCATATTTAAACCAACAGTATTGCTTAAGAGTATAGCTATTAAATGTCAAGACTGGCACCAGGGAGACTCATGTTCAAATCCATCCTCAGCCACAGAAGCTCACTGAAAGTTAGCCCTTGGAGGCTGGTCCAGGCAAGAAATAGTTTGGAATCTAATTGGAACTGCACTTTATTGCAAAGACTATAGGAACAGAATCTTGAAAACCTGCAATGTTTTCCCTTTCTCCCTCTTGTATCAAAGAGAGAAATTTGGTTGCACCTTTTCTGAGTAACAAATTTTATTAACAGAAGCAAGCTTTCATGAGCTGCAACTTTTATCAGGTGGAGTCAGGTTAAACTTCTAATATTCTCCTTATTTATCTTTTACAGTATTTTTCTCCTATACATTCAAATCCAATTGTAAAAGATATTTCTCCCCTGCCCCCCACATCTCTGCAGAACTCACTCTTTTTCCCTTTGCTAGATGAGCTGTCATAATCACTTGATTCAATCTGTTTCTCTTTTAAGTCAGCTTCAAACCGGGCAAGATCCGTATCCAACCTTCGGATGTGCTTATCTACCTGTAAACATAATAGAAGTGCAAGAATATTATTTGAGATGAGGGTCAGTTCATCAGCACAATGGAGATTCTACAAATAAAAGAAAGAAGCTGGTTACACTAGTAACTGAAAATGAATAAGTGAATGAAATCCAATGAATGAATGAAACTTTATAACATTGTCTTCTTGCTGTATCTCATACCATTTCATATGTCTGCATAGCCAATTGTACTTTGTCATCACCAAATTCTTTGCACTTCCCATAGGCCTCCTGGATTTGTTTGAGAAGACCCACTTTCTCTTCTGAAGACAGAGTCCGTGCATTGCTGATATATTCTGTAGCCAGTTTATCAATCTCTGATTTAAGATCTAGAAGAAGCAAAAAAGTAGTCTGATGAAGACTATTTTACATAAATTCCACAGTAACAGAAATGGACATTAAAATTAACTTTAAAAAAATGTGTGACAAACAATTACTCCAAATTAATTGCTGTCTTCCATGCATCCTATCTCTTATTCACCTTCTGTTCGTTGGTCTAGATCTCGCATAAGCTGAAAGTTTCTCTGCAGTTCAAAAGGCAAATTCTCAATACCTAAAAAGGAGGAACCCAAAAACAGGAAAGATGATCAGCCAAGGGGGAAAATAACATTGTGCTATTTTCTTTAACACATTAACACATGAGCACCCATACTAATGGGTGTGCGTAGGTCAATAGAAAATGAATTGTCAGATATTTAATTTTATATTCAAATATCAGCATGAGAAAACACAGAAATGATTATCTGCATCTTAAATGCCATGAGACACAAATTTCTCACTAAACATATCGCAGAGTTCTGGCCAATCCTAGCTGTGACTAGTATATATTTGCTTATATGTATATGAATACTAGCTCAATTAGGTTTTCTGCCATTTATCACAGAGGAATTAGTCAGCTGAAGCAAAAATTAAAAAAAAAATGTTTACAGCAAAGTCTCTTTTATGGTACATTTGTTTCACTGATGCAGGAACATCTGTTTTACTCCCCAAACTGTTTTGTAAATGACCAGCATACTGTCTGCATCTCTGAAAATGTGCTTTCTTCTAACGTATCCTTTAGGTAATTCTACCTCTTTCCTTAAAAGGTTTTAGCCTTCAAAGTACATGTATTTAAGGTACAACAATTATCACTGCTTGGAGTCCACTGGAGCTGAGCAGCTAATAAATTCAAATAAACGAATCATAGATCTACTCTGCATAGGTACACCCATATAGGCTGAATGTTGCTTTTAAAATGAGGGAGGCATGCAATTCCATCCCTTAGAACCGGATTACACTACAATATATCTTAAAGTTGAGCCAAACTGAACAAAGAGATTGAATAATCGCCTGCAAATCTTTCGGCTGCTCTTGGAAAGCTCCATTTCAGCATCTAAGGTGGATCAGAGACAATATCAAGAGTGTCCCTACCACCCTCTTCCCTCATCACACCTTTCCCAGGAATAACGCCCCCGACTAAAAGGGCGCGGCACCGCCTTTTCCCTTAGAACCGCGGGTAACTACGAGAGGCGGGAAGACACTCATTAGGGGTTTCCAGATCATGCTTCACCCACCGGGCAACCATGATGAGCCGAAGCGCCCTCCTGAACAGGTTCTCTCCGCTGCTGAACCTATGAATGGCCCGAACATGCAAAGAAGAGTCCCCTTGACCTCATGCGCCCACCCAGCGACACGAAATCGAGACGTCTGCCGGCATTTCGCGGCCTCCCTCCCGGCCGAATCCCACGCCCGGTCTTACTATCCAGGTAGTGCTCCAGGTACATCCCAGCCGCCATTTTGGGTTCCAGCCAACCGCCCAGGCGCGTCTCTTGGCCCCGCCCAACCCCGGCATTATTTCCGCCCTGAGTGAAAGCGACTTCCGTTCTGCGGCAGAGTCGCTTCCGCCTGCGTGCCGGGTGGTTGCTGCTTTTTAATCCTGTTTGTAGAGGCGGTTGCCCTGCCCGTTTTAGTGATGGCAGAAAGGGGAAGAGGTAGTCCTGGCTATCTCCCCCCCCACCCTTTTTTTTTTAACCTACAGTAAATACATGTGCCCCACCCTTTTTTTTTTAACCTTAAACGAATACCTTTTTTAAAAAACTAAAACAAGTAGATTTTCGGACTGGGCGCTCTGAATAGCAGAATAACAGAGTTGGAAGGGATCTTGGAGATGATCTAGTAGTCCAAGTCCCTGCTTAAGCAGGAGACCCCACATACCACTCCAGAGGAGGGGCTGCCAGTTTCTTCTTAAAGGCCTCCAATGACGGAGCGCCCACGACTTCTGAAGACAAGCTGTTCCACTGGTTAATTGTTCTCACTGTTACGATGGTTCTTAGTTCTAGGTTGCTTCTCTCCTTCATTAGCTTCCATCCATTGCTTCTTAGCCTGCTTTCAGATGCTTTGGAGAATAGGTTGAGCCCCTCTTTATGGCAACCCCTTAGATATCAGAACACTACTATCATGTCATCCCTAGTTCTCCTCACTGGATTAGACATACCCAATTCCTGCAACTGTTTTTCATAGGTTTTAGCCTCCAGCCCCCTAATCATCTTTGTTGTTCTTCACAGCACTCTTTCCAGAGTCTCAATATCTTTTTTATTAATATGGTGAACAAAACTGGATGCAGCATTCCAGGTATGGTCTTACTTTATAAAGCGGTACTAATACTTCATGTGATCTTGATTCTATCGTTCTGTTAATGCAACCTAGGATTGCATTGGCTTTTTTGAATGCTGCCACACACTGCTGGCTCATAGTGATTATCCACTAGGTCTCCAAGATCCCTCTCGCAGTTACTGCTATTGAGCCAGGTTTTGCCTAATCTGTACCTGTAAATTTGGTTTTTTCTTACCTAAATGTAAAACCTTACTTTTCTCTACAGTGAATTTAATTTTGTTAGATAGGACCTAGTGGTCAAATCTGTTGAGATCCATCTGGAGTGTTGGCTAGTCCTGCCAGTTTAGCGTTGTCTGAAAATTTAAGTTCCCTTTCTATTCTGTCATTCAAACTGCTCTTTTCTTACCGTTGATTCTTTTTAGAAAGAAGACGTTTCACAGAAGCTCGGAGGTAGTCACTTTGAAGTGTCTCCATTTTTCAAAACGAAGGAGAATTTGGGAATTTTACAGTCAATTTCATCAGATGCATTGAAGAGGAATGGCGACAGTGAATAATGTATAGAATCTATAGTATTCTAGATTGAGTTGTGCCTTCATTCCAGAAATCCAGTTGATACCTGGTTTACTCACAGAACTTTGGGAATTTTAGTGAAATCACTTTTTTTAAAAAAATCACATGCAAACAAAGAACGAAGCAAATCCACAAAAGCATAAAGTGCTACTACATCAAAAAGCTGATCCTACAGTTAAATTCATATTTATTCTCAGCCCTTTAAGATAATCCCCTCGAGGTATTGTACAACGGTGTAGTCTAGAAATAGAAATGCAATAAAAATTATTTGAAAACACATCACATTGCTAGGATTTTTCCTACAGGGCAAGATTTCTTTGAGCAAGAAGAAAAAAAGGAAATTAAGTTTGTACATAGTTCAAATATATTTTGATTTATTAAACAAATACAAAAATGTAAATTGAATCACTGACAAAAGCAAAGGCAACTGAAAAGGAAAATAAAAATTATGTATGGAAATAGAATCGTAAGTGACCTTGAAAAAGTTGTAAGCATGCTTATACAGTATTTCTTTCCACAGAGAGAACTATACAAAGGCAAAATCATTGGCAACAGTTCTTGAAATTGCAGGATTTTTTTAGAGATCCTAATTGTATTGATTTTTTCTGTTAGAGCAATTTGCGACTTAAGTTTATGTTTATACTTCTGAACCATGTATTTCAGATTTCTTGCCATAAAAAAACTGGTGGCTAATAGAAATTAACTAAATTTCTTGTATTGCAAAGATTTGTTTGTTTTAGGAAAAATTAACAAAACTAACATTTATTTGTTTTAATGCAGGTGTGTCCAACCTGTGGCCCACAGGCTGCATGCAACACTGACAACTACAATAGAGTCCCACAAGATCATATAAAAAATTAAGGAAGTTTGTTATTTATTACATTAACTATATTATATATTTTATGTGGCACAAGACAATTCCTCTTCACTCAGTGGAGCCCAGCCATGCTAAAGTGTTGGATACCCATGTTTTAATGTTTTATCTTGTTTTTATTACCACATAGAGTCACCTCTAGGTAAGATGGGTGGAATATAGGTTTAAATAAATAATTCATTGTGACATATTATTGGATGATGTTCACCTGTTGGAAACATAGAAAGTCAATAGCTGAATAATTGATCCTGTCCTTTTAGTTTTTTGTTTGTTTTTGTTTTCTTTAGAATTATTTATTTATTTATTAATTTTATTTATTAATTAATTTTTGTCGGATGTTAGACATATGTTTATACTGATGGTTAACCTACTATATTGATGATTAACCATATGTTTATACTGATGATCAACTTGGAGGTTGATTCCAAGCTTCCACTACTCATGTTTCCAAAAAAAAATATATATATACAAAATGTCTAAATGGACTTTGCTGTCAAAATGGATATCTATAACTTTAGAATTTTGTCAAACCTGTCTAGAAAAGTTACAGCTGATATGTGGAATAGAGTGCCATCTGTTGATTAACTTCAGAAGCAAATCTAGATGACTCAGTGAAATAAATTTAAAAACCATTTTAAACTACAGAGTACCATATTGAGAATCTCTGAATTCATATTCCAAATAACCATTATAGGACTATCAAAAAAAAAAATCTGTTGTGCTATAATTCCCATCTTAAATGAAGGCTATTGGTAATCTTGTTAATGAATTTAATGGGGAAGATTGATTTATGTAAATAGTTTACAAAAGAATGATTGAACTTAGATCCAGTTGGAATTTATGGCTTATATAAAACATATTCAGCAGTTAATAGGTTTATTGGAGCCCATTATCCTACCATTGTTTTATGGTGGGCATGTACATGTACATTGCACATGTATTTTGTACTAAAATATATCCTTATGCTTAAAAAGAGGATAACCGAAGAAAAAGTTCATGACCTTTAAAATTGTTTCTATTTTTTCCAGCCTTTTAAGTATTCAGGACAGTTTTGAAGTAAAAAAACATTAAATTTCTGCCACGTTAATTCAATTGGTACCCATGGAACAGTTGATTTCCTAATTAAATGATATTTTTAGTTTAAATATATCAAATAATTTCAAGTTGGGTACATCTCAAGCGCCATTATGCTTTGTATTGTATAATTTGTTTATTCCCATGCTTTTTATAGTTATTCATAGTTGCAAAATATGAAATCAGACAATGGACAAAGATTTGAAAGATTTAAGGAAGAAGCTGAATCCATACTAAGCTGTCTGATGTCAAAATGACAACGTGCATCATAAGGTCATCATGCAAAGCAACCAACCTAGAACTTGCATGATGATATCTGATATAAGTATGTAAGTTGTATCATTTCCATCATGTTATAACCCATGTTGTCATTGCTTCTCCCATACCCTTTCCTGAAGATTTCCCTATTTCACCACAAAGCAATGTTAATGTATGATTTTGCAGTAACTTAGAGTAGAAAGTCATAATTACAATTCTGTTGTTTCTAAGTACAGTACTCATTTTAACCGGGCTACTGGCAAAAAGAAAATGCTTGTTCAAATATAGAGAGGGGCAAGCCATTCAAAGCCTTGTAAAACTGATTACTCCATGGAACTGAAATTTGCAAGCACTATTAGGTGAGAGCCAGTTCAAATTTAGACACAATCCTGAGGAAATTGTGTCTTCTTCACTGTGAGTTATATTGTGTATGTGTGTGTGTGGGGGGGAGTGCGGTGCACTGAGGGAGCTCAACTAATCTCATTGTACGTATGTTGTGCATACGTACAATCTTTGGCTTGTAGATATTGGTATTTGCTTATTTGTTTTGAGGAACAAAAGTTTGAAAGACAGGAACAGAAAAGGAATATTGTGGTTAAAGACCTCCATCCTCTAGCACTAAAAGAAAAGACATCTGAAGTACAAGTGAAGGAGAAATCTGACATATGAATCTTTATAGAATGAATCTTTACTGAGAATGCAAATCAAGAAATTTATTCTGATCCAGTATGCTTCCTTAAATCCAAATTGATGGTAACATGTTCCAAGCTATCTATTTCTGGAGCAAAATACACTGGCATTAAATGTTGGATGGTGAAAGGCAAAATTTCCCATATAGTGGGGAAAATAAAGGAAGTTCCACTTTCCGGTAGTAAGTTGCAAACAGAGGAATAGAAGAGATCAAGAATATGTATTGATCCTATGAAAATAAGAAAGCCACAATATGTGCAACTCTATTATTCTGCTATCCTTCCTTCCTTCTCCATCTCTGGAGATTTTTAAGAAGAGATTTGACAAACATTTGTCAGGAATGGTCTTGGGTCTCCTGCTTGAGCAGAGGGTTGGACCAGAAGACCTCAAAGGTCCCTTCCAACTCTGTCATTCTGTTAAACAACATGCAGGTACCTGACAGTTTTAGACTTGTTCCAGCATAAAATTAGCATAGTGGATTACTCTGAAAGCCACTTACCATATCACGTGGTAATTTTACATACTGAATTCATACTTTGCAACTGATGAATATATGTTTTCTCTGGCTTTAACTTTAGGCTGTCATGTAAACATAGCTACTGATTTATAAACCATGTTTTTGCACTGTATAAACATACAGTATATAATTTTGCTTTATTTTAAAAAGGTATGGTTATAACAAATCCTGGCTTACTGCAAATCGTGTTTGCTATTGCAGCAAATGCTACAGACATAAAAGACTGTCCAAATTTTAACTAGTTGAAGGCAGTTTTGACTACATCAGAAGTGAGAGCAAAACCAATTTCTCAGGAGTATTAGAAAAATGCAAACAGCCACACTAAAGAGTTTTTCTGTTTAAAATTCAACTTCCTCATGGTTTTACAATCATCATCTTACCTTCTTGTCAGTCAATCATTTCTAGAAGAACTGCCTAGTCTGTCCAAGAATTAGGAAGAGGCATTTGAGATAAATGGAGAATTTATTTGATTGTTTAGGGTTATACCAAGAGCACTGAAAAAAGAGTAGCTAATTCTAGTCCTCTGACAGGCTACATATACAGTTCATTAATACAAGCCATAAAGTGGTTTGGGTGATTGTAATTGAATCTGTGACTAGCCATTGTGATTTGGAAACTATGATCTCTAACTTTAACAAATTATGATTAGGACAGTGGCTTCTTGCTGCAGGCTATGCACAATTTAGAGAGGGTTCATATAGGTTGTATGTATTTTTTTTACAAAAACCTTATGCAAATCACTATTAAAATTTATGGGTTTTGCATCTTGTTTGTGCAAACTGAAAGGAGCACTTGTGGTCCTTCAAAGTTTGAAAAACCTGTGATATATAGATTAAATTTTAATTATTAAAAGTAAGTATATTTATTTATTGCCCCAGCTTAACCCAAGAGAAAAAAATCATTTCTTTTTAAATAATTCCATTGTTATGGGGTATCACACATATTCATTTATCATTTTGGGAGATGCCATATCACAAAAATTTGAGAACCCGTCTTAGTACAATATTTCAACTGAGGCTTTGATTATTAGCCAAACATAGTCAGAAGGAAAAGGCAGTCACTGGGTAAATTTCTGTCTTCTAGCTTCATAACAAGAACCACCTATTAGCGCTCGTCACCTAGAAAGAGAGATTAAAAATTAAGAGAAATGTACACATATTTCCTTGGTAGTACCAGTGTCAGGATGAATGCTGCATTTCTTTGGAAATTTCTAAACAAGGATGTGGAAGCTTGTATCAGCCGATAAAACTAAAAACATATCTATGCTAATTGAAATGAAATTAATTTCTTTCACTGCAACTGTTGTCTGAATGCTGGGAAGCTAATATGCACATACAAAGCAATACCTCCTTTGTGTCCTGCTCCCCATCAGGTTTTCAGTGAGAGCTAACTTGGATTTTACTTTTCACTGCACTGCACTGCTTTTCATAAGCTTCAATTTACTTATTAGGTTTCCCTGGAAATGAAAAAAAGCTTCTGAAATAAGTGCTAGACGGCTGAAACCTATGTCAGTACTGTTTCAGTGTAATCCTCATGGCTCTGATCATAAATGTTAAGTCTGCGAAGGGTGAAGATCTGTTAATAGTAATTTATATTGTAAATTGCTTGGAGTTACCTAAATGAAACGGACAGTTTAGAAATATAATGAATGAATATTCTGATTAATTTATACATTGTATAAACTTAAGCGTAAGCCCACTGAATATATAGGAACTACCTTCCTAACATACATATGTTGGACTGCATTCTTATACACCCCAGTTCACAGAATTTTAGATCTCGGAGATTCCTGGAGAAAGGAAATGTAGTTAAAATCAGTTCCTGACTAAAATGTTAAATATACATTAGGAATTGATGGTGGATGTCCTGTCCGCTTCTCAGATGTTATTGCAGTGATAGAGAAGCACAGATTATCTTCAGCTGATCAGAAAGTAAGCAATGATTTCTTTCTTTTATCTCCATTAATTATTTTATGATCTACATGTGAATAATACCTGCATCAATAAAGGAATTAAAGGGGAAGCTGTTAGTCCTGCTGAACAAGAACAAGGGGGCAGCTGACCAGATTGGTCCAAAATACTTTAGCCTCCAAATCAGAAAACTCAAAGGAGATCTCTGTTCACACTAATTACCATAGGGGGAAAAATTTCCACAGAAGGGGGCCAGTTGGGCAATGTGCTACTCTTATTCCACTCGCATGTCTCCCATTTTTCAACAGAACAACTCCAACAGTATGCTTGTGTTGTTGTCCATCCCTTTTTTCTCTAGGCTCATATTTTTTACTCAAGAATATTTTCTAATTTATCTCTTTTTTGCCCTTTAATTTACAGGGCCTTGTCAATAGCATTTTCCCATGATCTAGAAATTTTATCTCAAACAAATCCCTCTAACAGTGATAACCAATGACCCAGCATTTGCAGGATCCTTTTATGTGTTTTTGAAAGAAGGTAAGGAAGTGGCTACCTTGTATCCTACTAAGCACTGGGGAAGATAACTCCTTTCACAATCTCCCCCCCTCCCCCGGGTATTTTTAGATTGGCTTATTTAGGAATGGGGATAAAGCTGGATGAGTAAGGGACAGGGAAGGAAGGACACCATTGGGATGGTGAGAAAGAAATAACTGCATTTGTACCTAAGATGAGAAGCAAGTTTTCAAATTCCAGCACAGCAGTTGGAACAAAATCGTGAATTTTCTGCTCAGCTTTGTAGAAGTTGCCAGAGTAATGTAACATTGCCCAAGTCCTAGGCTGATTTTTTTGTGAAATGAGTAGAGACCAGAAAAAGGCTTAGCACAAGATATAAATTAGAATTTATACAAAGTATGAGTCTAAAGTAGAATCCTTTGGAGATCAAAGCTCAAGATGGCCACAACTATGCAGTCAAAGTTCTAGTCTTTTTATATGTGTGTTGTGCAATGAGGAGCTGTCTCTTCCCAGTTATATCTACCCATCCATCCATCAGATCCAGCAGAAGTATGGTCTGGATCCTGCCTGTGAAGGAGTTCCATTGGTCAGGACCCAGGCGATGCACCTTTCCTCCTGTAACTCCATCCCCAGGAACATTATTCTCCCTGAGGTGAAGTTAGCCCCATCTCTTGATCAAGCCTTGATCAATAAAGGAGAATATTTGTAGCTCACAGTTGAAATGAAGGGGTCCTTGGTGTTCTCTGAGCTTGCTTGTTTTCTTGCAGACATTTCATTACCCAAACTAGGTAAACATCATACATAGGTGCTGATGATGTTACTTAGTTTGGGTAATGAAACATTGTAAGAAAGCAACCAACCAAACACAGAGAGCACCAAGGATCCTTCAGAAAATGTTGAAAATGTTATTCCATCAATCCTAGAAATCCTGTGGTGAGTCTGTGAAGTGGTTGAATGAGACTAAATGACCATTGTCTTCCCGCAGTCTTGGGGTTCTTTATTCCTTTATGTTTTATTTCTTATTTATGTCAGATTTGTAAAATATTGTGATACAGTTTGATTATTTTGTAAGATGCCCACAGGCACTTTTTATGATATGGGCAGCTGTAGGAATTTGCTAAATAAAGCAATATAAGAAAAGGGGTGGGCCGCCAATCATATGGTTATAGCACCATTTCTACTTTTTTAAAGACCTCCCTAAACAGTCTGGGAAAAACTTTTTTTCATAGTAAATGATAGGCATATGCATTTAAATTTATTGTTGTAATTCACAATTCAAAGAAGTCTAGATTACTATTTGAATCCAACCTCTAACCACTCTGGTATACCCAGTCATATATTCTAGTTATATATTATATAACTATTTATATATTATATATTCTAGTTATATATTATATACTAGAATATAGTCATATATTCTAGTCATATATTCTAGGTCTCAACCAAACTGCCCACCAGAGCCTCAAAAAACTGAAAACCCACTACCAGTTTGGGAAACTTTACTGTCACCTCAGCAATTAGGCAAAGCAGCCCTGGCAGGGAACTCAATTTCAGGGGGCTATATCTCAGAGAGAGACAGCTGTCCATCCAGGTTTTGGTAATGCATATCAGGCTTGCCCTGACATCCACAATTAAATGGCAGATAATAATTGTAGAGAGATAGATCTTGCAATTTGTAGCAGCTGCCAAAACCTCAGGGCTTTGTTGGATGAATCTGTTATGGCCTGAAGACATAAATTAGCAGGTAAAAGAGAGTAGCCTATTAAGAATATGCTTTACTTGTCCTGCAAGGTAATTTAATATCCATTTGTGAGGACAATTAGTTCTGTCTCCTTGAAAGACAGTTATAACGCTACCCCCCCCCAAGGCTTTTGTTTGCACCAGAGATTGTGATGGCTTTGGCCAGACGCTCCTTGGGGGAGTGGGGGGGATTGGACTAGAAGACCTACCAGGTCCCTTCCAACTCTGTTAATCTGTTAAATATATCATTTGAGATAAATTCACTTCAGTGCATATTTATTATAGGATATGATACACTCATGCATAAGATTGAAGCAGATCAATAGTCAATCTGACTTCAGACATGGCTTCAATCCTGAATCAGCTTTAATTGTTCTAAAACAATTAGGAGTATGGCCCATCTTAATTTAGCTGGACTTCTTGGCAGCTTTCAGTATTATTGATTACAACATCCAATCTGATTGTGGTTAAAACACAGAAGGGCATCACCTTGAAATATTCATTGGAGGGTTTTTTTAAAAATTAAAACGTCAAGATTGTTTCAGTATCAATTATAAATGACTTAAGTCTTAGTTTGTGCTTAGTATGCAAATCAGTTTTCTGTATTCAACAGTACTTATTTCTCACATGCAAGTTCACTTCCTATACTTTGTTTGAACAGTCTAATTTACTATAACTGGGTCAAAAATATTTACCAGATCTATTGCAAATAATTCAAATCAACCTGTTATACTTTCAATTCACTTTGGTCCTAAGATTCACATGCATAGCCTAAGCTATTGAGTCTGTACTGACCAATTTGGGTTAAGCAACTTCATGTAAAATGAAGCAGCTCTCCCAGCTGAAGCAGCCCTTGGACCAGATGTTTGTCAACCTTAGCAACTTTAATATATATGGACTTCCAACTCCCAGCATTCCACAGCTTGCCCCAGACCATGGGTGTCAAACCCACGGTGTCATGTTGCCATCATGTGACATTTTCCTTCACGGAGCTGGGGTGGGCATGGCCCACAGGCCGCCAGTTTGACACCCCTGCCCTAGACAAAGCTTATCTGTTACTTTATAAGATTCCAATAAGACTTCTGAAATATATTGTCAGTGGATTTGCTTTTGGAGATAGGTCAAGAATGTCAGTTGGTTCAAAGTAATAATAGGTTGGTGAGGATCAGTGTTAACATAAATACATGGGTCTTGATTAGTATATTTTTTAGATATCTAAATGACTTGAGATGTACAGGAGAACCTTGTCTCATAAACTTGCTTGCCTACTGCGATTCTCATAGAAAACCCTCTGTGTTTTGCTTACCTTCCAAGGCTAGGTAAACAGGAAACGTTGTGCTACATTTTGTAAAGTTGAATCTCACAAGTTGAGATTCACCGGACACTTGGGTCTTAAAAAAAATCTAGACAAAGCTTTAAAAAATAGGATTTGAATGGATTATTTCCATTGCTATTTTTGCTAGTTAATTTCATCTAAATCAGTACAATAATTTCAACTGTTACATTGGTTGATTTAATCTATTTGATGAACTATCCTTGATGTAGAAATACTAAAAGCCAACATATATAATTCTAAAGTATACAACATATGGGCTGAATTCTGGCGATCCAGAGCATTTCCAAGCTCTGGCCATCCAGGCCCCTAATCTTAATTATCATGAAATTCATACAAACCTGGGAGTTTCTCAGGAAATAGCAAAACACTCATAAATCCATGCTTCTCTAGTGTCTGAGCAAAAGACAAGTTCAAGAGGGGGGAAAAAAAACAAGAGGAGAGAATTAAGAGGCTTGATCCAGATGAGATCAGAGAACAGAGCATCCACATACACAATAAAGAGTAGCATCAATCTGATAAAAAAAGTCACTCCTACTTTAGAAGTAGTACAAAGGGAAAAAGGAAATAATGTGTACAAAACCTGGATATGCAGTCTTCAAGAAAATATGTGGGCCTTAACATCATATATTTTAATAATTTCTAGTAGGCTTTGAACCTAGAAGATCCACTTATAACCATCTTACTATCATCCTTAATCTTTAATGAACCACAAACACAAACACAGTTTCATTAACATTAAGAGGGCTTTTGGAATTTATTCTTTAAAAAAAGTAATGAAATTAAATACAAAAGTTCTAATGCAATATTAAGGTTGGAAATTTAAAATACCCCCCTTCCTCTGGGAAATGCAATATGAAAGATTCTTAAGAACAGCTGAAAATTACCCACACTGAACTAATGCGGCAATTTGAAAAGGTAAGAGCAAACAAATTTGTCTCCTTAACTTTCAGTAACCAGTCCTCTTCAGTGAAGACAGAAAAATATTGAGAAAAACACAAATGTTGCCAAATGCCTCAACATTTGTCGGTTCTCTATTGATTACCCTTAACACTGCATCTCTGGAAAAGTGCTTTATTTATCACCATAAGGAAAACTGTGAAATTCTCTCACCCAAGCTTCATTTTTCTACAATGTCCTCTCTCTCTGGAGTAGCTTTAGAAGTCAGAATACTGATCCAAAAACTTCATGTAAGACATGGGCAAAAGGTAAAGTCTCTTCACACATAGGCAAACTACCTTTATATTCTCCACCCACTCAGCCTCTTCAAATGTGTATTCTTATTTTAACTTCCATCACTGTTGTAGCAATTTCCCCCAGGCTTTTTCTTAAAAGTAGATGATGCTCATAGATCCTAATTCCAATGGCCTGTGGAGGATAATATTCTCAGCCCCTCACAATCTGCACAGTGAAGGATAAACATGACAGGTGGGAAAAGCAGCATGCTCCCAGTTCCAACATGAACCTTAGAGCAGGCAGGAATTGAGGACCTAGAATACTCTCATTCTGTTCTTGAGGGGAAATGCCTGAGGGGGGCTAAAATATTAGCAGTGTTCTTGCTGCAGATACATAAAGAGTTATTGCCTGCCCACAATCTTAGTTCTTCCACTGCCCTGTCAGGGAAAGAACTCCTCCTGTTGCGCTCTATGTGGCCCTTCAAGCCATTAATCTAGTTACAAGGAAGCTTGTAAAGCTGGAAAAAAATCAATCTCTCTCATGAATGTGAGCATCTTCTGCCAAGAATACACAAGATGGAAAAATTAGCACATAACTAGTTACAGCCCTGAATCAAGGTCTGCTCACTTTCATCCTCCTTTCAGGCTTGTGCTCAGAAAACAGCTGTAGCTCTTACAATGCTTGTAACAATCATGGACGTGTTATGTGGTCCAGAAAATTAATACCCTGAGGGAAAGGAAGTGCAGGATTTTACCAGACGTGCATGTACACTTAAAAGTGTAGGGACACATGCACACGAAATTCATACCCATGCCCAACATAGAAACAGAACACACGCACGCACACACACACACTCAAGTTCACCATAATCCCTGCAGCCAAAGCACAATCTTGAAATGTTTATGCACCGTTTAGATTTCAGTAGGACTTTGTGTGCCCTACAGAGGGGAGGCAGGAGGGAGGAACATCCATCAGTCCTGGTCCATCCCAAATGTGTGGGATCATCAAGTCATTCACAAGTTTATCCTCAGACAATGCTGCTTTTAGCTGACAGGAAAGCAGTGCAAATTGCACAGAAAGCAGTCTGCCCTGGACAAGCTCTGTCATGACTGAGGGAAGAACAAGCAAACCTCATATTCTTGCCTTAGGTATCCATCTACTGCCAACAATGGGTAGAGTCTTCGTTTGTCTAGAAAGGCACCTGAACTGATTTGTTTTTATGCAAAGTAAGTTCTTCCACTCTTTAATCTATAGCATGTACAGGCCTACTAGAGACAATTTTTTTCACTTAAATCCCCATTAGCTTTTGGAAGCCTCTTTTTTGCCTCTGTGGCCCAAGGAATTACCAGAATATTGAAATGAAGGAACAAGAAATTACAAGATTAAAGCAAAGGGGAAATACTTTGAAGATGAAGGCAGCAACCAAGTATGAAGGATAAAAATCAAGGACTGAAAATAAAAGTGTGCAAGGATAATGTGGTTTTATAAACACAGATAGAAACAGTTACAGCAAGGACAGGGGCAGGCTGGATGGGATTGAAGTGTGAATAGATATATCTATCCAACTATTTGTATATAGATTTATATATATATATATTTATATATAAATTCAAGTGGAGAGAGGGCCCGAGTCTGTTGTTTGGGAAATTTCCCCTTCTAATTGATCTCTCTGTGCAGTGCAGGAATGATTTTTTCCACCATTTCCTCTTCTTCACTGTTCACCCCCTGGAAGATTCCTCTGATTCTTGCTCTCCAAGCATCACCACACTACAGCCATCTTATATCCAGCCTGGCTCGGCAGTAAGGACAGTGAAGGAGGCATCTGGACCGCACGTAGAGAGAAATATCCCAATAGTTCCCTTCTCCGGGGGCTTCCCCCAAAGACCTCCTTTGAGCCTTGGGTTCCAGACTGCACTTATTGCAGAAAGGGGGAAAGAAGGGAGTGAAGACAGAAAAACAACCCTCAGTCTTTTTTTGGGGGGGGGGTTTGTCATTTTGGCACTCTTACCACTAGGCATTTTTTTGGTTTAGACTTGATGCCTGCAGGAGGCTTAACATTATGGTGGTGGTTAAACCATACAAGTTTCTAAGTTGTAGTACCCACCTTCCCATCCCTAATTCTTCCTGAAGTTGGCTAGGAAAAGATTAGTCACTCCCCCATTCCAATGCCCACTCAAGTAATGGGTTATGCAGACTCAGCTGTCAGTCACCAGCAACATCCCATTATCTTCAAGGTTTTGTAAGCCGAACAACATTTGATGCCTAGAACAGGAGCAGCCATTCTTCCTTCCTCCAGCTCACAGGAAAGAGAGGGTGAGGGAAGGGAGTGACATAACGAGTGAACGTTCTCCAGTCTAAACCCCAAGGGAATCTTTGGAAGACTCCCAGTCACCCTCATTCACCTGCAATCAGTCAATGCTGAAGCTCCTTTCATCCACTGGTACCCCCTCATTTCTCATCTCTGCTGGATACCTTATCAAGTGAGAGAGAAAGTGGGGTTCCCTTAATGAACAAGAAGGCCTGGTGTAAGGGAGGAGCCCTCTTCTTGCACAAAGAGAGTTCAACCCCGTTTACGGGGGAAGGTTGTGCCTCTGGAGGCACTAATGGTAACACCAAGGAGCGGCCACTAAATAGATAGAATCCCCATTTCCCTCCCCCTAAGGGAAGCGGTCACAAGCTGCTGCATGAGGAGAGGCCATCACAAAAGAACTACCCATGGGCACAGATGATGCAGGAGAAGTTTTCCACTCCCCTCTTCAGCCATGGTCTCTAAGAACTGGAAAGGTGCTCCACTTGGATGGTGCTGGTGCTAACCGTGAGGCAGATGTCTTTGTGATGCTCCGAAGTTTTATAAGGGGTAAGGTCAAAAGAACACTGTGGGGGAGGATTGGACGGGTTGTCTCCAGATGGACCCCCTGCTGCTCCACTGCCCTGTGCTTGGAAGTGCTGCTGCTGCTGTTGCGATGCCTGTGATTGAGCCTGGACTTGGGCTTGGACCACAGCCACCTGTTGCTGGGGGTCAGGGATGTTGTGTTTCCGCATGTGTTTCATCAAATATGTTTCCTGAAGTGGAAAAGAGGCACAAAATAAATTCAGAACCATGGATACAAGTGGAGAGGCTAACTCTTCCATTCCACTAAGAGGATGGGGCACAGCAGAAACCTGTTTCCAGAGCTCTCCTCTGAGGGCAGTGGCCAAATGGTCCTCCCGTTGTCTCCCTCTTTCAATTAAGTTGTGCTTACCGAGGTATAGGCCCGATTGCACATGGAGCAGTTGTAAATCTTGGCATGCTTCACTGTGTGAGTGGCTAAATGAACCTCCAACGAGGTGGCATCTGTGTATGCTCGGTGGCAATTGTGGCACTTGAAGGGTTTGTCTTTGTTGTGCTGCCTTCTGTGGGACTAGAGTGGTAGGGAGCAAGAAAAAGGGCAATGAGTTGAAAGCTTGTACTGTCCTGTTCGGAGGTCTATTAATGTTACTCAAGGAACTGTCTCATCTGTATGGGACAGGCAGATGAGGCATGCTGCTGATCCCCTCAGTCAAGGAATTCTGGCTGGCAGGGTCCAGGAGAAGAGCCTTCTCTGCTGCAGCCTTGGTGCTTTGGAACATCTTGCCCCCTGAGGTGAACTTAGCTCTCACCCTCCTGATCTTCTACAAGAGCCTGAAGACCTGGTTCTGCCAGTTGGCTTGGGCCCCTGATGAGGGAGCACCACTGGATGTGATTGATCGACTAAGAGCAGCTCCCACTTCCCTCCCTTGTACATTCTGTTCTTTTCCTCCCCATCTTTTAGTTTTAGTTATGATTTTAGTTTTTTGTTATGTTTTTACCATTTGTATATATATGTATTTATGGTTTTATTTTTATGTTGTAAGCTGTCCAGAATCACCATGCAATGAGATGGGCAGCAAATAAATTTAATAAATAATAATAAATAATGCCATTTCTTAAATAAAAATCAGGCATGTGTATGCGTTCACAGGCATGGATGCTATCTATGTATCTTCTAAGCTGGCAATTTACATAGTATTTGTGTAACCAGATCCCCTATCATTTGTTTTGGTTTTATCTTGCCCAAATTTGTTCAAAATTTGCTGGTTACATTGTATTTAAGTTCCCAAAGAACTACTGTACTTTTCAGAGTATAAGACACACGCCCACCAAAAAAAGTGGGCGGAAATGTCTGTGCGTCTTATATAGAGAATGTTGCCGAAGCCCCGCCCACCCGCTGGCCCCCCACCCTTCAGCCTCTGCCTCCCAGCAATTTACCTCCTTGCAGCAAACAGCATTGTCAGCTTCAGCACAGCCTGATTTAGGACGAGCAGCTGATTGGATCAGCCTCCTGGAATACCGCCTATCAGCTGTTCCAGGATGCGGGGACTGCTGCCGCCCATCACCACTGTCACCTATCGCCACCTCCATGCGCCCCATTTTTGGCCCATTCTAGGTGGCAGGGATCGTCGCCACTGCCTATCCCCGCCACCTGGAACGGGCCAAAAACGGGATGCATGAAGGCTGAAAATGGGGCACGTGAAAGCGGTGATAGGTGAGAGCGGTGATGGGCGGCAAATTGCTCAGAGGCAGAGGCAGATTTTTTTCCCTTGTTTTCCTCCCCAAAAGCTAGGTGCATCTTATACTTTGGAGCGTCTTATAGTCCGAAAAATATGGTAAATTGTACATCATGCTATTTCAAATGCCATGTATATAAATTTCAACTTAATATAAAAACAAAGGCAAAGCTACAGCAGTGAGTTTATTGTTGCTAAGCAAATAAGCAAGTAACCAAGTAAATACATTAGTATTATTAAAATCTATTAAAGCTGAGCAGTGTAGTTGTGGTTGCCACACATGCTTCCTCTTGGCAACGAATTTGGAAACTGAAGGTAGCAAGCAAGACCTATAACAGCATAAATTAAGATCTGTACTGGTTGTAGGAATGACATCCTGTTAATTTTTGAATTTTGCCTTAGCAAAGTTGGATTCTTTAACTCTGACATTTGATAAAGTGGTTAGTTTGAATCATCAGCCTCCTCTTACCGAATAAAAACAGATTCTCAGGATCACACTTTTTATTTTCCTTCAAAACTATTTAGCTTTGTCACAGTTCGCAATCAGGCTACTGGTCATTATGTTAGATTTTCCTAGCAGAACTGTTGATATAAGCCATATGATTGCAAAAGTATAAAAACAAAATCAAATGACACATTATAACAAACATGTATAAATGTCAACTTTCTGTTGCTTACTTTGATGCAAAGTTACCACTGATTGGGATTGTGTTTAATCAGTGTACAACATCTAGTGAGCAATTTTATTTTTACTAATAACAACTATGGATTGGATGCTGATTACTAGCAATTCAGCAACGATCCCAATGAAATAAAAAGGAGTGAAGTGCAACATCCTTAACATGGGCTGGTTTCCCCGTCTCCCAGTTTATGGAATAAGCACACAGCCTGGATGAAAAACAGAATGCTGGAAGAGAAGGGACGGAGGACTCCCTCCTTTCTAAAAAAAAACCACTGGGCGCATATGTTCTTTTGATTCGCCTGCCTGGTGCCTCTGGCCTAACGTTATCCAGCCGATGCTTAAGGCTACTGCCACCCCCAATGTTTTCCCAAGTTGCTGGATATTTGGATCAATTCCTTTAGAGACTAACCTAGAGGAAACTGAAAGCCTTACCTGCAAATTTGAAAGTTGTGTGAAAGCCTTTTCACAGCCAGGGTGAGCACATTTATAGGGTCGATCTCCAGTATGAATCCTATTACAAAAAGGATAGAGAGAAAAGATCAGCAGAAGAAAAGTCAGCATAGAAACCCACTCCCAGATGTTCTGAAGATGCCCTCCAGCTGAGCTAGGCAAGCAAGAGATGCACCGCCCTTCACCAACTTATTTCCTTGTTTCTTTGATCAAGCCACATGCCACCTCCTTCCCAGTCCAGTTTAGCTAGGTAAGCTCAGAAGGAAAGCCCGCAAGAGCATGCAGAAACAAAAGGAGAGGGACAAGCAGCTCACAGGCAAGAGGCAAACTCTCAGTTACTTCAGCCACCTGTGGCAGTGCCAGGGGAAAGGACTGGAGAACAAGATCTCAGTCCAAACTGAAGTTGCTTCTTTTACTTCTGCCCTCCACCATGCCAAAGAATGTGCTTGCTCACGCACATTTGCAATGCCTGCCAAAATAACTAAGGAAAGCATACATTTATCCTCTAAAGTATCAAGGAACATTGCCATACATTCCACTTGTACAGTGCCACTTCTTTATTCCCTGTAGCTTCATGCCCCTCTAGTCCATGCCTGCCTCAGTCTCTCTCCCTCTCCCTCTCTCCCTCTCCCTCTCCCTCTCTCTCTGGGACCCCCTGGAGGGGAAGTGAAAAAGGGTCACATCTTCCCCAGGCCAATATTCCCTGCCCTGGCATGGTCAGTGTCTCCTCTGCAGCCCCCACTCTTTCCTCTCTGGCAGGCCACATCTTTCCAATTGACAGGACTGGCTTCACCCCCCACCCTCTCCCTGCATGCTTGCCGTGTGTGCTCCAAAATAAGTGCATGCTGACGGCACGGGGGGCCAGGCTGGGCCCCCAGCCTCCTTGGCCCTTACCGTGTGTGCTGCTGTAGGTGGGAGAGCTGGCGGAACGCCTTCTGGCAGTAACGGCACGTGTAGGGTTTGACCCCCGAATGGATGCGGAGGTGCTGGGCCAGGTAGGACGTGTTGGCGAAGCTCTTGGAGCAGTGAGGGCACTTGTGTGGCTTGACAACCGCCGTGTGGAGCTTGGAGTGGATCCTGCCGAAGAGGAGGAGCAGGGGCAGCAGTTGGACATGACCGCCAGCAAGCTAGCAATGACAACATGAGGAATGGTACCATGCTGTCTCTCGCTGCAGTGGAGGAAAACCAAGTGGGATACTTTCCTTGAACTCCACAAAAGGGAGTGCAAGACCAGGAGGCCAGAGAGAGGAGTCGGGAGTTGTGGGAGTATGTGTATGAGAAATCCTGGGCTGGGGAAGCAAGGGGACGGAGCTGCTCAGCAAGTGTTTTTGTGATGTGAAGTGGGGAGGCCATCAATCCTGCACCTACAGATTCAGTCTCCCAGACATTAAGAACTCCTGTCTCTGACGACCCAATAGCTTCTCCATTTTCTCACAGACTGTTCTGTGGCAAAGGACCAGATAGCATACATTAAGAGGCCCCTCTGCTCTTTGCACAAAGTAAGCATGGACCAACTGGCAGGAAATGGCTGAGATGCTCTGAGCAGTCTCCCCATGGGCACTTGCCTCATGCTACGATGTTGGCAGCATGCATCGTGGATGTCTCCCCAGTTTCATCGGATCTTACCGTGTGTGCTGTTGTAGATGTGAGAGTTGGCGGAAGGCTTTCTGGCAGTAGCTGCAGGTGTAGGGCTTAGCCCCTGAATGGATGCGTATATGTTGGGCCAGGTAGGAGCTGTTCGCAAAACTCTTGGAGCAGTGAGGGCACTTGTGTGGCTTTGCCTCGGTGTGGGACTTGGAGTGGATCTGCATTTCTGACTTGGAGTAAAAGGTCAGGGAACACATCCGGCACCTGAGACCAGGTTGAGGGGAAAAGAGACAAAGTCACTCAAGGGCAGGCCAGTATCTATGTCCCTAGGATCATCCATAACTGACCAGAAAGATCTTATCACTCGAAAGAAGAGCTGCCCATATCCAGTCCTGACCAATTCTGTTAAGAGGTAAAGGAATAAAACTGATTTGGATTCGGCTCTTTCAGGGAGGCCTTCCTTAGTTTCTACTGCCTGGGAATATGAACAGTACTATGGTAGCTCAGCACATCTGGAGAATATCAAGCAGGGAATAGTTGATCTTCCTTTAAACTAAAGAAACTACGACAAGTCCCAGGGAAGACATAGCCAGTTAAAAGTATTTTTGTGCTAAATCCTTAATCACTATGGAATCTGAAATTTAAAGATTCTTTCTCAATTTGATGTTGAGAAAGATGTTTTGAACTACAATTTGTTAATCCCCAGCCAGCACTCTAACCTGCTGAAGTTGTAAGTGCCCCAACACTGGAGGTTTTTAAGAAGAGACTGGATAACCCTTTGTCTGGAATGGTATAGGGACTCTTGCTTGAGCAGGGGGTTGGACTAGAACTCCGAGGTCTCTTCCAACTCTGTTTATTTTGTTGTTCTGACTGAATTCATATCATATTGATATTAAATTACTAGATGAAAAATGGATATTATATTGATTTTAATTAGGCTTTTAAACCTTTCTATTATGTTCAATTCTTTGCAGTCATTATAGTGTATACAAGATGTTTCTTAGACCAGATACTGAAAAAGAGCCCAAAGGGTAAGATGGTTAAAATTCATGAAACCATGCACAGGATCAGAGAATCATAAATCATAAAGACTTTGGAGCAAGAGTCTTTCTACCATCCTGGACAAACAGTTGTCCAATCTTTTCTCGAAAACCTCCAGCGATAGAACACCCACAACTCCGGGAGGCAAAAGCTGTTCCATGGGTTAATTGTTCTCACGGTCAGGAAACTTCTGTTTCAGGTTGGATGTCTCTTTAACAAGCTTCTACCCATTGCTTCTTGTCCTACCCTCAGGTCCTATAATAAATATATAATAAATAATAAAAATATGATCCTTATATTTTTAACCAAAATACCGTGAAAAATGTGCAACTCATGGATAAGCCATCCTTCAAAATTTTTGTGTGTTTCAATTTTCATAATTAACTTACCTGATGGTGCCACATTTTCATGGTATTTTTAAAAATCTAAGGGACGCCTTATCTATCAGTATATATTTATTTATTATGTTTATTTACATATGGATACTTTATTACGGATAATCATTTGGAGATAAATTGAACACAATTTGGGGGGGTTTATTTTTGAACCAAAAAAATACATGTTTTATGTGCAAATATATATGGTAATAGTAACAGAATATTATATAGACCAATACAATGCAACAACTTAAAACTTTCTGATAAGCTTCAGCTTCTGCAGCAGTGGAACGATCTTTCACAAATACATTCTAAGCTTCTTTCTAGCATATATAAAATAAGAACAAACATATTCCTAACAAAGCAAATATCCTCAACAAAGAGGTGTAATTTTACTGAATACCCTGATTTCTAAACTAAAGGCTGGTATAGTACAGTGTTTCTCAACCTTGGTAGCTTGAAGATGGGTGGACTTTAACTCCGAGAATCCCCCACCCAGCGCTGCTGGCTGGGGGATTCTGGGTGTTGAAGTCCACCCATCTTCAAGCTTCCAAGGTTGAGAAACACTGGTATAGCAGAATGTCTCCACTAATCAGTTGTGCTCCTGTTAATCTCATCTTGCTAGGGTGCTCCAGCATCTAATAAGAATATTCTGAACAAAAAAAACAATTAAAAGTCATAATTATATAATTTAAAAAAACCCAATTGTAGGGAAATGTCTTGATTCCTCTACTGAAAATGGCCAGAGTAATGACAAATACAATCCCTTACATTCCATAAGCCAAGGGGGAAAAATCCTCTCACATGTCCAAGAAATAGGTGACTGAAATCCTGTATCAACTTTACATAGGCTAAATATCAGCCTAGACTTGCTGAAGGTTCATCAGTATACTTGAAGGCACCTAGTTCCAAAGTTATGGATAGCGTCCATATCAGTTCTATATAAATTAATAAGTAGCAAAAATTAATATAATAAAACTCTGTCTAACACTATAGACCAAGAAATCCAACTCAAAGCCTATTAGCATAGACATCCATAAAAGAGAGGAGTAAAAATGTGGACTTTTTTGTTGTTGTTGTGGTATCAGGGACTTTTTAAAGTAAAAATGGATGCATAAACCTTGAAGATAAAAACATCAAATTCACTCTTTAAATACCCAAAACCCATCCCACAAATTATCTACACCAAGCCTTACTGTGACTGTTTTGTCTACATAAAACAGCTTTAGGTCTTATTTTCAAGACATTTTGTCCCCATTTTCTTTTCAGGGGCTACTGATTTCAAATGATTTTACCATGTCTAATATGAAAACAAGAGTCCAGGTTTAACCAGTTGAGTAGTTAAATCTAATTTATTAAAAAAATAATGGTCTCAATAAAAGGAAATTGACACTAATAACCCCAGAGAATCTAGACGTATAATATATGGAAACATATATAGAAACAGCAATATTTCAGTCACTCATGCCCTAGTCACTTCCCGTCTTGACTATTGCAACACACTCTACATGGGGCTGCTCTTGAAGAGCACCAATAATACCATTTAATATTATATTCCTTAAATATTTTATCACAAGATTACATTAACTTATAAATTTGAAATTTGAAACAACAAAGGTGTAACAAGACCCAACCATATGAGTTAAAAAGCATTCAAATTTCTTACCCTGCGCTACTATAAAAAAAAAAATCCAATGCCCATCCCTTTTAAAATAGACTTTAAGGAGTGCAAAATACATGAAGTAATGTTTTCTGATGAACTAGTTTCATTTTTTAAATCTATATGATGTATATGTCACATTTTTAAAGCCTGGACTCATTGATTTTTAAAAACTGGATATTCCAATTCTTCCCCTCACAGATCAAATATATAGTAAATGCTAAATTTATTTTACTTTTAATGTGTTGTAAAACTGAATTATTGGTTTCAAGCACAGTATTTTTTAAAAGTGCAATAATTGCAGGCATCTCAGATAGCTAATGTATCTGGGCTATACTGTTTATGTAATATATGTTTCAGTTGTATGTACAAACAGTCCTTGACTTACGACCACAATTGGGACCGGAATTTCCATTGCTAAGTGAGTTGTTAAGCGAGTTGCACTCAATTTTATGACCTGTTTTGCCATGGTTGTGAAATGAATCACTGCAGATGTTAAGTGAATCATGAGGTCATTAAGCAACTTCAGCTTCCCTCTTGACTTTGTTTATTGGAAGTTGGCTGGGAGGTTGCAAATTGTGACCCCAGGATGCTGCAACCATTTAGCTATGTAAAGCATTATTCCCTTTTAGCCCAAATATTCCAACAGAGTTTTGTGCCTGCTATTTTCAGATTTGAGTTATACCACATTGTCAGCTTTTCATGTTATTCAGAATCCAACTGCTTATCTGTCATTAAGCAAATATGACTAGCAGCTTTGAAACTAAGAAAGATAAATCTTGGTTTAATATGCCTAGATCTTAACATCTGCCATGATATAAAAGGCATTCCATATTTGCTTTCTAAATGACCCCAGGGAAGAAAATAATCCTAATATCCCTCATTCCTGAAAAATACAGACATTAAGCCAAATTATAACGTTAAAACGGTGGAAGACTCCTGTAATTTCTTGATGGCCTCTCATCCAATTACTAACCAAATCCATCCCTGCTTAACTCTTTCAATATCAGCTGATATTTATTAGATGCTGCCATCTGACATGAGATAAAATTCACATACACGGTATTTCCAGTATTCTGCTAGATGGTGAAAAAAATATACACTAACTTATAAGTACACAAATCAAGAAATGAATTTTCCATATGATCACCAACACTAATTTTATATACAAAGTGCATTTCTCATAAACAAGGATGGTATAAGTAAAAATGTTGCTTTAAAAGCAATTGTAAGAGAAGGGCAAGGCAAAACAATATATTTAGAAATATCCAGTATCACAAGTGCAAGATTCCCACACTGACAAATAAATAAGCTTCCTCCAAAAAGACATTAATTTTTAATAAAGCCTATTGTGCTACTTGCTAAAAATAGGGTTTTTGGTTTGTGGGATTTCAGCAATATCTATAGTACAAAGCTCAGTCCTCAAATTTTATCTTGGAGATATATTCTTCAGAAGAATATTATTGCATTCATATAAGCAATCCAACTATGCTATTACATTAAAATACTTTATCAATCCCAAAACAAGGACAGCATGATCATCCAGTCAACTACAGTTCTGTCAGGCAGAATTAGACATCATAATATGACCATAGCCCTTGATAATTTTCATTACCTCCTCAAGAGTTTAATGTATTCATTAGCAACACCAGAACAAGACATAAGTACTTTTTTTGGTGCTTTAGGTGGAAAAGAGTGGATAAATCATGAAATAAACTTCAACTGCTATACAAAGTTTAGCACTGCCAGAAAGAGTAAAACTGTAACTCACATAATGGAGACATGAGCGACAGACTAAATTCACATAGGTAGTTCTGGCATGCAGTTGCATGTACCAACCATTATGTTAACTTAGAGATCAACTTACAGAAACAACTAGATTGTAAAAACCAGCCAGTGAAAACGTATTGTTCAGTATAACCTGCTAGGTTCTATTGCATACTTCCCTCTTACCTAAATCACAAGTAAACCAGAAGCGCAATGAACTAGAATGCCACATCATGGAAGAAGACAGTTCCCCTGTAATTCAAATGAAATACTACTTGTTCATATGTACTCTTGTGAAATCTGCCCAGAGCGTTTTGAGTTGGGTAGGCTATAAAAACTGTCAAATAAATAAAATGCAGGATTTCTAATCCCCAAAATCTCACCTGTATGTCTTGCCATCTTTGTGCTGGTCGTCTTCATCTTCATTGGGTAACACAAAAGGATCACTCATGTCCGGCAGGCCCGTTTCCTGCAGTCGCTTCTTTTTTCTTCCCCTGGGAGCTTTAGGGGTGATACTGCCAGCAGCACTCACTGCCCCACTTTCTGCAAGGATGCCCTTCTTAGAAAGGTCAGGTATTACTTGGAGAGCTGCCTGGGAACCAGGAGGAAGAGCTGAGACAATCATGGGTGCAGAAATGGGAAAGGTTTGCACAGAAGAGGCTGTGGTCACCAGGGATCCAGAGGGAGAAGTTATTACCAGACCAGGTCCTGTATGAGAGAAAACAGAAGGATTGTTTCAAACCCTACAAGTCCTAATCCACCTGTCAGCATGTCAAAGAAAGGAAACCACACTAATATACTTATGTATAATTATATAATACATATATACTAATATACTTATATATAATTGCCACTGGGCTAGGCCTGCAGGGCTCAAATTTAAATGTTCACACATAAGCTTCATCCTAAAACCCTAAGTCTACCTCTCTGAGTTGCTGCAGGAAAATACAAAGGAAAAAAAAAGTATGAAAGCAAGCTTCAATAAAACCACACACCCGGGCAAGTGTGATTCTATTTTCTAGACTAGATCAGCTTTTATCTAGATTGAAATGTATTTTATGATACAGCAAAATTTAGGTCACATTACACATTTAATCAGAATGCCTCTTTTCCAATGTCTAAGAAAAGCTAAACTATATTCTTTTATCAAGAACAACCTAAAACGTTGAGTTAGCAACTGGACCATCCAAATTACCTCACCTGTTGTCATGAGCCCAGCAGACTGCACTGGTACCACTGTGATGTTCTGTGTTACTGACGTCTGGCTGGTTGGGGTAAGGTGTTCTGGCTTGGTGTCAGAATCCATAGAAATGTTGGTAGGAAGGGCCACAGAAGTGGGGACAGTCAGTAAAGTAGGATAGTGAGGAGGAGCCAGACCACAGCTCTTTTCTGAGGGCAACAACTGCTCCTTCATTTTGTTAATGAACATGCTGTTGTCAATCTAAAGAGAAAATAGAAGAGTTTTAGAATAGTCATGGGCCAAACTTCATAAAAAGCAATTTACATTTCAGATGTTCCTTACCTGTCCCGAGACTGTGGGCACTCCTGGCCAGAAATACGGGGAGGAGTTGAAGTGAGATTCTTCCATTCTAGCTGGAAGACATAAAGATACAAGGCTGGTTGTCAAACTATGTAATGTCTATATGGTACTGAGAACCATCTTGATTCCTCCACAATACCAGTTCTGATTCTGAGACTTTGTTAGTTCATTGTAAACAAACTAGAATTTACTAGCATATTCTGACGTTCCAAACATTAAAATAGCTCTCAAATTTTCAAATGATCTCAAAGCATCATCAAAAGGAAATCATGCTTTGTATAGTAACTATTTTCATGAAAATACATGGTAGGAATATATTAATATTCCAATTTCTCAGTATCTTTCAAAAATATTGGTAAGATAGCAAGCAAAATGTAACAGCAAGATATTTGGAATCACTAAAAATGATTGACCCTCTATTTTAACACAAAGAATTGGCAAAGGACGTTGCATCTCAATGTTGTAAACCTACTAATAATTACTAAATATTGGGTGTTTGCAAAACTAATCTTGTTAGTTCTCTGGCATACAATGAGGGACACAAATTATTTGCTGAAAACTGGGGTAAAGTCCAACATTGTGCATTCCCAGGTGATTTTTCAATCCTTCAGAAAACGTTTTACAGGAGAGCTGGAATTGTATTTCTAATTCTGTTGAGGAAGTTGCACTACTGAATTTCATAATCAGCCACAAATAACAATATCCTAATTCTGGACACACTCTGCTGAACAAAGTGTTAAAAACACTCTCTCCAGTTGTGGCAAAAAGATGCTGTCCTGGTTCAAATTCCTGTATTTCTGCACTCACCTGCCTATAGAATTTCATATATAGCTTCTAAAATTATGATGAGTGATGTAATGTAATCCCTATTCTTTCACTTTGAAAAATCTCAGAATGCTATATTTTAATCCATCAAATTAAAAAAGACTCTCAGTGCTACATGTTGTTAAATAATCTTTGATCTAAAAAACTTGATAATAGAAAAGCAAGATCCATGTCTTAAAAACTCTTGATCATATAGCTTTTACAAAGTTTATATAGCATGACACAGACATACCAGGAACATGCCACTTAAATTACTTATTCAAATTTCAGTAGCCTCCAACTTCTGACAGAGCTCACAATGGATTTAGTTTCTGTTGTGCTGAAGGATAACAAGGAGCAATTAAAAAACAAATATTCTTGGTTTCATTGAAATGCCCAAAATTTAATATACATGTTTCAGGGTGAACTTTGAAATATTCATGGCATGTATGTATGTTATCTAACACTTATATTAGCAGATCACAGCTAGTTAGCAACTCGTTCCCTACATTCTCAAGCATCCCAAAGGAAAACTGTGCTGTTCTTTAAAGGCAGTTTTCAGCCTAAAAATGCTAAAGTTGCAGATGAAACATACCAAAAGCCTACTATAATTATGCAAAAATGAGCAATCATGAATTCTACAATTGCAGTGCTAGACTATTCTTTCCTGGAAATCTGCATTCCATCTCCATCTTTCTCCCAATCTCATCTTGTGGGCCTGCACCTGTTTTAGAAAAAAAAACTAGACTTCAAAGAGAAATGTCAAACAAGATCATTGAAGCATCCCAAGCACAGGCCTAGAAGTCTACCAGATTCCGAAATCGGGTATAATTAAATGTGTGCGTACATGTGGGGGAAGAACCTAAAAGAAACCATCTACAGAAAACATAGCTGAGGAAATGAGATCTCTTGCCGTTCAGACATACGTTATGTTAGATCAGTGAGTTTACAAAGCCCAACCTCATGCTCCAGGGAAGCCCACAAGCAATTTAGGGAGCCAGCCATCCTCCTTTTTTCTCTGGCAACAACATTCAGAGAGATGCAGGCTTTGAACCTCAGGGAGCTATATAAACTAAAATTGTCAACAGCCAACGGTAGGCTTTGTCTGCAAAGAAGGGTGTACAGTACAGCATCACGATGCACGCCAGGAAGACCAACTTTCTCTGGTCGGTCCCAATTTCCCTCCCGCTTTAGAGGCGCCAGAAATCGAAGACACCAGCGAGGCAACCCGCCTCCCCCCCCCCACTCCCACTCCCAGGCCCCCTCGCACCCCCCCATTCGCACCCCCGGCTCCCTTCGCGCCCTTTCGCTGGCACTGACCCCGCCCGCGGCCCCTCGCTCTCCGACCCGCCCGGGCTGAAGCGGGGAATAGTGGTCGAGATGACGCGGAGTCCAGCGGCGCACGGGCCACCAGTTGAGATGGGGCAGCCCCGGAACCTCCGCCGCCACCGCCGCCACCCGCTGCCGCCGCCGCCGCCGTTCCCCCGGAGAGCCAGGCGGACAGCAGGCAGCCCTTCTCTTCCGCTTCCGGATGATTTAACCCCGGAAGTCCTCCTTGTCGAGGAAAGCCACTCATATTCTCCCGCCCGCTGCCCATTCATCTGCCCCTCCCGGCCCCCGGAGACAGCCCCCCAGCTCTGGCCCAAGTGGCGGCAACGGCAACCTCCTCCTCCTCACCGGAAAAGGGAGCAAAGAATCACTTCCGAGTAGAGGAGGCGGCGTTTGAGTTAACACTTCCGGGGCACGGCCGCGGAGGGCTGAATCGCTTTCGCTGCTTGCCGGAAGCGACGTGTTTCCTGGACTCATTTGAGGAAGAGCGGACCTTCTCCCTTTCCTGCGTTGAACGTTTGGTCTAAATCAGGGGGTCTCCAATCTTGGCAACTTTAAGACTTGTGGACTTCAACTCCCAGAATCCCTCAGCCAGCTTCGTCAAGGCCGTAGGAGAGAAAGGCCGGCACAGACACCGGAGAGGGAGGCTAAAAATCGACAAGCGTTGGCGGAGCTCCGTGCAATCCGAAGTCTCATTTAGAGACTCAGCCGTCTACACTGTTTTACCCACCCGGCTAGCACGGATGAAGGTGAGGAAAAGGAAGGCCGTTGTGGGGGAGTTTGACCCACATCCCCCCTCCAAAACTCTCCGAACTACCAGGACTCAGAAGGAGACCCTAAGCCTGTCTGACCCAGAGCAAAACAAAAAGACAGGCAAGCTTGTCTTCAGGGGGACACCAAAGGGAATAGGGAACTACCTGCATTGTTGGCAGATGGATGTACCTGAAGATCATCCCCTCAGCATAGACCCAAGAACTTTCTTGCAGGGTGTGCACCCCCAGATCCGTGACAAGCTCATAGAAGAAATTCGGGCTTGGAGAGGACTCAAATTCCAGCTGGTGCTAAAGGTTGATCTCTGGAAAGGCGCTTGCACAGAGGCTAAGCTTTGTGACAAACAGGAAGTTGTCTTGCAGAACAGTGAGATCGACATGGCACTAGGCAAGGCATTCAGCACTATTCAGGAGAGGCTTGAGAATTGGACCCAGAGAGGTTCCGGTTGGATGGTTGAAAGAGTGCAGAGACTCTGGCTTAATATTGCCCGGTATCAACCCATCCGGGGTGGCTCCTACATCTCAAAAACATCTGTGTTGAGAAACACAAAGGCAATCATAAACGTGAAAAACAAAGATGATCACAGTCTGAGGTGGGCACTCCGCTCAGCCCTGTACCCTGCAAAAGACCACGTGGATAGACCCTCTCAGTACCCCACTCAGGACGGCCTTGATTTCAAAGGGATTGAAGCCCCCACACCCATCTCCCATATCCAGAGGGTAGAAAAACAGAACAATCTAGCCATCAATGTCTTTGGCTGGGACGAGGGCATCATCATCCACCGGCTCAGCTGTCAACCGGAAAACATACTCAGGATCAACCGAGGAGGCTGGTAAATTCCACTACGCCTGGGTGAAAAGTCTCAGCAGACTTCTGTATCATCAAACTAAGCATCGAGAGCGCAAACATTTCTGTGAGTGCTGCCTCCACTGCTACACCAGGGAAGACCTGCTGAAAGACCACAAGCCTTATTGCCATGGGATTGGGCAGATGGTGGTGAAAGAGGTGATGCCAGAAGAAGGTAAAAACAAGTTTTTCTTCCAGAACCACCAGAAGCAGCTCCCATTCCCATATGTCATATACGCTGACACTGAGGCCCTCATCACAAAGATCAATGGCTCCAAGCCCAACACTACAAAGAGTAACATTCAAAAAACACAAGAGCATGAGGCCTGTGGCTATGCTTATATAGTTGTGCGCTGTGATGGTCAGACAGAGTCACCAGTTATAATCAGAAGGCCAAATGCAGCAAAGGACTTTCTAAACTCTCTCCTAGAAGAAGTAAACAAAATCAAGTTGGAGCTGGCCAAATCCCACCCCATGAACCAAGACAACAAGCAGGCCCACAAGACAGCCACTATCTGCCACGTGTGTCAGAAGCCACTTGATGGAAAGATTGTCCGTGACCATTGCCACACCACAGGGAAATACCGAGGTGCCGCCCACAATGACTGTAACCTTAAGCTGAGGCAGCAATCCAGAAATCCAGTCATTCCAGTTGTCTTCCACAACCTGAGGGACTATGACTCCCACCTCCTGATGCAGGCTATCTCAAAGGTAAAGGGGCATAAGATCACCTGCATTCCAAACAACACAGAGAAATACATCTCCTTCTCTCTAGGGCCACTCCGGTTCATTGACAGTGCCCAGTTTCTGCTGGCCTCCCTTGACAAACTTGTTTCAGCTAACAAGTCTGAAGACTTTCAAATTATGGCTCGGTTTGAGTCCAGCAGAGAAAAACGAGAACTTCTGCTGCGTAAGGGCGTCTACCCATATGAGTACATGGACTCTTGGGAACGATTCACTGAGTCGCAGCTCCCACCAAAGGAAGCATTCTACAGCAAGCTCACAGATGAACATGTATCAGAGGCCGACTACATCCATGCCCAAAAGGTCTGGGATACCTTTGGGTGCCAAACACTAGGGGACTACCATGACCTCTATTTGACTACAGACGTACTCCTCCTAGCAGACATCTTCGAGACCTTCCGGAAGACTTGCATGCAGCAATATGGTCTAGACCCTGCCCACTATTATTCGAGCCCAGGCCTTTCTTGGGATGCACTGCTAAAGAAGACTGGTGTGGAGCTGGATCTGTTCACAGACCATGACCAGCACCTATTCATTGAGAAAGGAAAACGGGGTGGTATTTCCATGGTCTCAAAGCGCTATGCAAGAGCCAACAACTTAATGGTAGAGGGCCATGACTGTTCTAAGCCGAATATTTACATCATGTACCTTGATGCAAATAACCTATATGGATGGGCCATGAGCCAGCCTCTTCCTACAGGTGGCTTCCAGTGGGAAAACGATTTGCAGAGTGTGGAAAAAACCATAGTGAACCATCCAGTAGACAGCCCAGAGGGTTACATCCTCGAGGTGGACCTGGAATACCCTGTAGAGCTCCATGACATGCACAACGCCTACCCACTGGCCCCGGAGCGCATGGTGGTTCAGGAAAAGTGGATGTCAGAGTACCAGCACAAGCTCATTGGCAAAGGCATGGCATCTACCGAGGTTGAAAAACTGGTCCCCAACCTCCGCGACAAGGAACACTATGTACTACATTACCGCAACCTTCAGCTTTACCTGTCTCTTGGCATGCGCCTGAAGAAGATTCACCGGGCCTTGAGATTCAAGCAGAGTCCTTGGATGGAGCCCTACATTAGGATGAACACAGACCTCCGCAAAAAAGCGAGCAGTGACTTTGAGGAAGACCTGTACAAGCTAATGAACAACAGTGTATTTGGGAAAACCATAGAGAACCTCCGCAAGCGAGTCAATGTCAAATTAGTACGTGCAAACGAGGAAAAGAAACTGTGGAGTCTTATAGCCAGCCCAGCATTTGCACAGGCAAACATATTTGATGATGACTTGGTAGCCATTCAGGTTCACAAGAGCCACCTAGTCCTCAATCGGCCTATATATGTGGGTATGAGCATCCTTGATCTCTCAAAATATCTTATGTATGACTTCTACTATAACAAGATGAAGGCTCAATATGGGGAGTGCTGCCAACTCCTTTACACAGATACCGATTCCCTCCTTCTTGAGATCCAGACAGAGAATGTATACGAAGACATGATCACACAGGCAGACCTCTATGACACATCCAACTATCCAAAAGATCACTCCCTCCACAGCATAACAAACAAGAAGGTCTTAGGGAAGATGAAGGATGAGTGTGCTGGAGTGGCCATTGCTGAGTATGTTGGCCTGCACCCCAAGATGTATTCAATCCTGGAGGCTGGTGGCCCAGAGGCCAAGAATATCAAGAAGGCCCAAGGTGTGAAAAAGAGCGTTGTGAAAAAGCATATCCATCATGAACACTATAAAGAAGCCCTCTTCAGCAACAGGACCTTCGGCCATTGTACATATGTGTTGCGGGCTGAGCGTCACCATATCTATGGACAGTACCTGAACAAGGTAACGCTGTCTCCCTATGACAGCAAGCGCTGGATTGCAGAAGATAGGGTGAACACCCTAGCTTATGGCCACAAGGATGCCAGAGGCCAGCAGTACCTGGCTAGGAGTGGATGATACTATATGTGATGGCAGCTGGGTATCAGGAGACACCTGGAAGAACTCTTCCTAGACAGTTGGTATAAGTTTCTCATTGTGGAATGTAGAATATTAAACCAAAATCAATGTAGCTTAAAATATTCCACTCTTGACTCATTTATCAACATTCCTCCAGAAAGCTGAAGTCTGTCTTGTTTTTTTTCCTCTAAGGGGGAGGGAGCATTAATGAGCAAGATTTTTGGCTTACTCCTGTCTCATGAATTACTTTTTTACTCAGTCAATTTTTGATGTTGCACTTATGATTGATTATTTTAACCAAGAAAAGAAAGGCTTATATACATCTGAATGACTTCATGGACAATTTTTTTTTACAGTGTTCTTGTGATTTTAACCAGATGGACATTCTTGGGGAAAGTCAGTATTATTCCAAATTGTTTCCATTTCAGCATTAAGTTTCTGACTGGATTTGTGGAACCCCAGAGTTTTAGAAATTGTTTTGTAACCTTTTACAAATCGATAGGCATATGTGACATTTTACAGAAGTCTTCAGCAATTTCTTTGGTAAAGGGACATTTTACTATCTTTGGCGGACATGTAAAAAAGCTGAAAAGTTTTGGATTGAAATACTTAATTCAGAAAATTTTACAGATTAATATACAATTGCAACCAGCGGCTTTTCTTCTGGGATTGATGGACAAACATTTGGAAAAAAATGTTTTTATATGTCATAAGTATGAGATTAATATATACATATATGATGGAACCTATATAGAGACTAAATTGACTCCTTGGATTGGAGAAAAGACAATATTTATATTATTGATTTGAAACTCCTTACAAACTTTTTGTGTGAAATAGAAAAAAAGATATAATTTATGATTTTGATGATTAGAAAAATATAGATGAAAATAAAGTATTTTGAACCATTACAATAAGAAGTAATTTTATATTTGCACTTATAACTGCTATAAAGAAAACCAGAAACTACTTTTTTCTATTACTTTCCGTTCTTTTTGTACTTTTGGCTCTGTTGTGTTTTTTTTTCTTTACTTTATATTCTTGTTACTTTTTATCTCTTTCTTGAAAATATTTAATAAAAATATTACACACACAGGAACAGGTAGTCCTTGACTTAGGAACCACATGACCAGACCTATTTTTGTGATTTTTTTTTTGGTGGTTAAATGAATGCTGCAGTTGTTAAGTGAATGTAATGGTTGTTAAGTGAACCCATTGTTTGCTATGGGTGTCGAGCCTCACAGCATGCTCGACAACGCTACCGCGCGATGACAACAGCAAAGGATATACAGACGTTTACATACAGACAGGGTGATGGTGGCACGGGATGCAGGCGGTCGTGTGCAGGGTGTGGAGTGGAGGTGTCGTGTGCAATGGGTGTAGGGTGGTTCCTGAACGTTGCTGTGGTTCCTGAACATTGCTGCGGAAGAACGCTCCTGAGCACACCGATGGCCAATACGCTGATGGGGAAGGGTGGGGTGATAATAACGGGTGTGGTATTAAAGGAGGAAATGGACATAATGAACCGGCGGGCTATTTAAATGCTCACCTTCAGGGATCCATAGCGCCGATTTCGTTCGCTTTTGCGAATCGCAGCGTGTGTCTGGAAGCCGACGTGAATAAACCAGCATTCTGCAAAGAGCTGAACTGTGTTTGCTGAGTTTTGATTGCGTCTTGCACGGAACTACTGAGAGGAAATCGGTGCTCCCCTTTTCTGGCTATGGATGGCGGAGGGCGTGGATACAGCCACTGCTTAACCGGCCCTGGAGGAGGAAGGGCCACCACCCAATGCGGAGGAAATCCCGGTTGAGCCTCAGCTTTCGATTCGGCCAAAGGAACGAGGATGAAGCCACAGTTAGGGTGAGGAGACTAGAGAGGCTGGGCTGGCGAGGGGTGTGGCCAGCCAGGCAGATCGGGGGAGTGGTGGCAAAGCCCCACTTTGGCTGCTCCGCCGAACGCTCGTAAAGACCCAACGTCGCCTCCATACAGCGAACGGTTTTATCGATGGAGAGAGAGGCGTTGGGTCGACGACGATGACGGGGAGTGGAGTTACTCAACAGGACTGGGCCAATCCACCATAGAAGTACTCCGGGAGTGGATTGGGGAAGCCAGCTTCCGTGACGCACAGTCCTGGCAACCGTGGTTGACGGGGACTGACTCTAACACTGGCTGGCACCCTTCCTCTACAGGACAAGAGACCCGGCTCCGGTTAGCCAGCCCCAAGGTGCGGGTGGGCCCTTCCCTAGGCGGTGGTTCCCGCCTGCCTGCCACACACCATCCAACACCCCAACCTGTTGGATCTACATGATCTGTCCCCGTCCACACACACACACAAACACAGCCAGCCGAGGGTTAAGGAAGCACTTGGAACACACCCAGGTCTTTATCTCCAACTTGGCAGCGATATACACACCGTCTGCCAAGTGCTTTTATTTCCACAGAAAACAGAAAGATAATATACTTAGCGTACAAGAGTCCAAGAATTATTATTCCTCTCAGCAGTTTCGGATGAGGCTTTAGTGACTATCCAAGGTTTACTTTTGTTCGTCACAAGGATCACTGGCCACCACCCTCTATTATATAGTCTCTGGGGTGTGGTCCAGTGACTCAGTTCTAATCCCTAGCATGCCTCCTGAGCTGCTGCAATCGTTTATCACGCCTTCGGAGGCATGCGTCCAGGAATGATGTCTCTCCCTCGCTCTCATCTGAGCCACCTGTCTCCCTGCTAATCTCCTCTCCCTCGGCCGGCACCTGAGACAGTGCCAGAGGGGAGGGGCCTGGAGAGGGAGGCCTGGCTGACTCCTCTTCCTCATGCTCGGAGCTTTCTTCCTCCGATGGGACAGGCTCAGAGGGCGGGCCCACAACACTACACCTATGGGACCGGTACTTGGCCCGCTTCGCTCAGCTCTGGGACAGGCTGCCAGGAAAAGACAACTCTTGCATACAAATCCCAGGCTGACAAGCACCAAGCTCCTGCTCCACCTTTACGGGTAGGGGACATGGTATATCTTTCTACTAAATACATCAAATTAAGGCTCCCCAGTAGGAAACTAGGATCAAAATACTTGGGCCCCTTCCCCATTGTCAGGGTTATCAATCCAGTCACCGTAATGCTGAAACTCCCTCCGTTACTGGGGAAAATTCACCCTGTATTTCATAGTAGCCTTTTGAAACCAGCTAAACTAACCCAGAAAAACTGTGATCGTCCTGGTCTAATCACAGAGGGTCATTATGAAGTGGACGAAATATTAGACTCTAAGATACAAAGAGGGAAGCTGTACTACCTGGTTAAATGGACAGGATATCCAGTAGAGGTGTCCTGGATACCATACACTGATGTACACACCAAACGGCTATTGCGACGGTTTCATAAATTAAATCCACAGAAACCGCGGTTAAGCGCTAATGGTGTACATTTGTCTCTTACAGAGGGATCCTTGGTGAAAGGGGAGCTGCCTGTCGAGCCTCGCAGCACGCTCGACGCTACCGCACGATGACAACAGCAAAGGATATACAGACGTTTACATACACACGGGGTGATGGTGGCACGGGATGCAGGCGGTTGTGTGCGGGGTGTGGGGTGGAGGTGTCGTGTGCGACGGGTGTAGGACGGTTCCTGAACGTTGCTGCGAAAGAACGCTCTGAGCACACCGATGGCCAATATGCTGATGGGGAAGGGTGGGGTGATAATAACGGGCCTGGTATTAAAGGAGGAAATGGACGTAATGAACGGGCGGGCTATTTAAACGCTCACCTTCAGGGATCCATAGTGCCGATTTCGTTCGCTTTTGCGAATCGCAGCATGTGTCTGGAAGCCGACATGAATAAACCAGCATTCTGCAAAGAGCTGAACTGTGCTTGCTGAGTTTTGATTGTGTCTTGCACGGAACTACTGAGAATGGGCTGCCATTCCCCCCCCCCCAGAAACTGGAAGTAACCGCTGATTTCTGGCAAAAATGTAGTAAATTGCAGTCACATAACTGGAGTGCTGCAAATGATTGTAAGTGCAGACTGGTTGCTGAGCACCCAAAGTGCAGTCATGGGACTGCAGAGGGGATGAAGTTGGAACTCCAAATGAGTTTTAACTTTTGGAACTTAACTTTTGAAAGCTGCATTGTTAGTTCAAATGCTCACTGCTCCTGGGATCTTTTGAAGCCATTCTTCAGTTTAGTAGTCATAGCCCTGACAGCTTCTACACCCACTGGGACTGCTTTGGTCTTCACTTTCCACATCCTGAGTCTCTAGCTCATATTTTATGCCTGGGTCCCCAACCCCTGAGCCGTGGTCACTGCTGGGCCATGGCCTACTTACAATGGTCACACAAGCACATACTCACACTCATACAAGCTTGACTCACACAAGCGGTAGGTTGGTGCACATACACTCACAGCTCAATTTGTGTGAGTGGCAGGCTGGCGCGCACACACATGTATGCGCAGCTCAGTTGACCTGCATGTGCGTGTGTGCTGGCCTGCCACTCACACAAGTAGAGCTTCATGTGTGTGCTGACCCACCGCTCGCATGGCCCAGTTCCCCTCTCCCCTCCCCCCTGCTGGGCCACCCAGCCACAAAGGTTGGGGACTGCTGTTCTATGCAGATGTTCCTGTGCACAAATCTAGCTATTTCAATGTTGCTCAGTGTATGCTGTTCCTGCCTGCATTTTACACCCTGCCACTATGTGTTGGACTGTCTCTGAGGTCTCTGGACTTAGTCTTCATTTTGGGTTCCATCTAATATGATAGACCCCTGCTTCTATGAATCTGGTGCTTAGTGTCTTTATATGCTGTAATGATCAGTACTTCAGGGCTGTTTTTTAATCCAGCCCTTTCCACCCTCTGGTAGGGTTTCCCAATGTCTGCCACTTCAGCTGTCTGTTGTTGATACATCCCATGCAGAATCTTATCTTGCCATGGCACTTCCTGTTAGTTGTTTCTCCCATGTCTGCTGCTGCCTCAGACATTCAGCTTTCATTTTTGGGTGCTATCTTGTACTTCTGGATACTCTGGGTTTTATCCAGGACAGTGGCTTTGATGCTCACCAGACCCTGTCCACCTTTCCGAGTAGTGTACCGTTTCTGTCTACATCGTAAGGAACTTCCAGGTCCTCATATTGGCAGCTTCCATACCATGCTTTGTCCAGCTCTCTATACCAGCAGGTGTCTGATAACTGGAAGAGCATGTTAATGGTTTAGATCTTTTTCTCATTGAGCTGGCTCTTCAGGGCCTCTCTTATCCTTTAGTGGTACTTGGATGTTGCTGTCTTCCTTGCTTCCTCATGGTTCCCTTTTGCTGTGGGTTGCCAAGGTTCTTGTAACAGGCCTCTTTATCTGTTGTGTGGCTTGCTGACATTTTCACCCCATTAGTTTTAACTATTTTTCCTCTCTTGACTATCATCTATTCATATTTCTCCAATCTAAATGACATCCTAATGTCCTCACTGTAGAGCTTGTGGGTGCTCCATTGCAGGTTTTCAAGAAAAGATGACAATCATTTGAAATAGTGAGAGGACTCCTGTGTGGGCAAGGAGTTGGACTAGAAGACCTCCAAGATCCCTTCCGGTCCTATGATTCTATTATCTGTGTCAGGTGGATCAGTGAGTCAATGTCTTCTCTCTTAGCATACATCTTGATGTCACCTATGTAGGGGAGGTGGCTGATGATTGTTCCATTCTTCTATCCATATCCAGTCCTTATGGTTATCTGACAGAGGGGATCAAACCTATGCAGAACAGTAGTGGATACAGTGCATCACCTTAGTACATGCCACACTTGATGGCCACTTGTTTTAAGCTATCTTGAGCTGGCTTTTAGAATTGTCTTCTAGACTCCCATTAAGTTTTTGAGGAAGTTCCTTATTGTCCTGTTAACTTTGTATAGTGTCAGGCATTCACAGTGTGTGTGAATGTGTGCGGCATTGGGGTGTAGGTTTTCCTTTAGTCAAGCCAAATTGTGTTTAGATCGTTCTGTCTAGGCTAGGGGTCTCCAAACTTGGCAACTTCAAGACTTGTGGACTTCAACTCCCAAAATTCCTCAGCCAGCCATGTCTAGACTTGAATTGTGGGTGATTGTTCTGTCTATGAACAGCTGGTGTTTTGAGCCTCGTGTTGTTCCCATGCCTGACACCTGACAGGACTTTCCATGATGTGAGGAGACAGGTTATTGACTAGTTGTTGGATGGTGCTTTCTCTTGCAGGAATATTTCATGATCAACACTGTCCTTTCTGTTAGCGAGTCTAGGTGCTGCTAGCTAGTCATCAGTGCTGCTAGGCATTCATGTACTGCTGTTAGTTTTATTTAGCCAGTAGGCATGGGTCTTGACCAGGCCAGGTGCTATCCAGCTCTTAGTGCTATTGTCCCACTGTTGGATGTTTGCTACTGTGATGGTGACTGGTTCCTGTTCTGGGAGATTGTTGTGGTCTGCAGCCATTTTGCATTAGTATTACGTGTTTTCTCTTTATCCCAAATTATCATATCCACCAGCTTTGGCTTGATGCCTTGCTGGTGTTCTGCCATCAGTTGGGGAAGGAAGGGGGGAACAAATAGGCAATAAAGTTGTATACTTTTATGATGGGAAATTGGGAGGGAGGAATTGACAATTGAGAAAAAAATAGAACATTTTGAAATCTAGTTTGTACTGGCACACTGACATCTTCAAAGCCATTTGCCCTAAGAGTGGATTTTCATCAACCCAAACACCCCAGCATTTCCCAAAACATCTTGGCGGTGCCAGTTTGGCTACACATGGACAGACTCTGGGGGGAAGGGTTAGGGCAGGGGTGTCAAACTCAAGGCCTGGGGGCTGGATCCGGCCCACAGGGTGCTTAGATCCAGCCCACAGGGCCGCCCTGGAAACAACAAAAGAGTGGCTCACAGTGCCGAGCTCCATTTTTGCTGACAGGGTTGCTGGAGGCCATCGCAGCTGAAAACAGAGCTCAGGAGGCTGTTTTCTGTGGCAGAGCGCTTGAGCCACCACAGGTGCCCCTTGACATGAGTGACATTGAGCTGGCCACACCTATCCTGGCTACACCCACTCTGCTCCCCCCACAGCTCAAACACAACCCTAATGTGGCCCTCAATGAAATAGAGTTTGACACCCTTGGGCTAGGAGTTTAGTTCTGTATTGGCACATGGGAATTTTAGATTCTGCTTGACTTTACTGCAATCAGCATCTCTTAGTAAAAGTGCCTTTTCACTTCAACCAAATGGAGTCTAGAGTTTTACTTTCCTAAGGGATCAGACTGGGGCAGGTTCTTCCAGTACTGTTCAATTTCTGCTGTTGGTGCTTCTGCTGTTACTGTGTTGTTGCACAATAGTGGTCCTGAACTATATTAGGAATCCTTATATTCATTTCTAAATTAAAGGAGAGGGGCAGTTGCTTAGAAAGTACTAACATTTTGGCTCTGACTAGTGCAATAAACAATAACAATAGAAATTACCCATTGCAGCCACTAGGTGGTGACATTTATACAATGATAAAATCCTTAAATACTGTATCAAAGGCCTGTTTGACAAATTAATGAGAAGATGCTTGCCTCTACTTCAGTGGCAGTTTGTTTCATAACAGGCCATGCTAGTAAAAAAGCAGATTTGTTCATCCTTAACTAAGTGTGTATTAAAGTACAGGATAAATTATGTGGAAATAAGCAATACTACTACTATTACCTTGAGCCTGAGCCATGTTAGATTTTCAAAATTATACTGAGTATTTTGATTGTATTTGGAGGTAAATAGTAACTAATGGATATGCTTCAGCACAGAAACTATGAAGGATCTTGAAAAAGTCCCCCCCACCCCCACTAGCTGCAGAACAGTTTTATGGGCTAATTTCAATTTCTGTTCCACTTTAAACTGTTCTGCATGCAATCATCACTAGTGTTTATGACCCTCATGTGAAGAATCATAATTCCCTAATTCTATATGCTGGAATCAGTAAAAATGATGTTTTCTCCAGATACAGTTTTAGTTTCTTCTCCCAAAAGCTCAGAGATTGAGCTGCTTGAAAAATCCAACCATGAATATTTTGGATATTCAGACATACCCAGTCCTTACTGGATATATCTGGATATTCCATATTTTATTGGAATACAACTTATTTTATAGTCTTGATCAGCAAATAATATTTTCTAATGATCATGATGGGAAAAGATCTTAATGACTGTAAATATTCAGTCTAATTAATGAAGAACATTACATATAGCTCATCTGTATCCAGAGATATATGGTAATGCAGCAGGATGATTAAAATGATGTGCTATGGACCAGGCAGATATTAAAGCATGACTGAGGGATAAAATTACCAAGAATCAGGATATGAACTTCCAGGGTCAAGAATGGCCCAAGAACAGCTAGATCCCTTTCTACATTGTCTTCTAAAGTAGGATAGAATGGGAATGTTATTGATTTGGTCATTTGGCCATATCAAAAGTACAAAACTGATACAAGTATACAATTAAGTGCAGAGAAAACAGCAGGAAAATTGTTTTTTAAACTGTAGCAATATTTCATGAGAAGATTGAGGATAGTTGGTCAGAGTCCGACAATAATAAGAGATGAGTACACAGAGGAGCTCTGTGTGTAAAAGAACTGTGGGAAGTGTGTAAGGACTAAGGTGTACTCCATTTTGGGCAGATTGATCACCTGAATTCTAGCACTAGCATAGAAAAGCCAAGAATGTGTAAGGCTGTACATGTGGTGCATAAGGGTTTTGCTCTTTTATAGTTGGTTATTTCATTTGCAGGTTTTTGCCTTAGTTCTATTGCTGCTGTTTCTATTTTGGGAATCAAGGATCTACAACTATCTAATTACTCAGTTATGGTGGCAATGGATGCACCACTGGAAGGCTTTCACT